TCCATTTACTGCAAAGGGTTTTTAGGAAGAGTTGGTTTGGATTTTTTCAGTTTTTCATATTGACACTGATGCTTTTATCAATTTAAATACGCTAACATTAAACCGCTAAAAGGCATGTAGGTTTCAATAAAATTCTTTTTTTATATCTTCAGCCCATATAACCAAATGAGCTGCTTTAACTTTTTTTTAAGCAGAAAAGATAATAAAGTTAAATGAAAAGTCCCAGCGCTTACTTTTAAGACTAAATGGTATTTTAGATGAAACAGTTAAAGAAAGCAGAGTTTGTAACTCTGAGATAAAAATAATGGCTTAAATCTATCTTTACATTGTGAGGATTTTTCTTGGAGCTGCATAATTAATAAACACACTTCCACTTCTCAGTGGGGTCAGCTGCTATGAACTGCCTGTGAGTCAGATCAGGGACACTGTTATGGGAAGAGCACTTGAGGAACACTGGGAATTGGAGGATCGTCCCCAACTGTACCACTAGCAGGCTGGGAGACTGTGGACAAGCTGCTTCTGTACCTCTGTTTTCTGATCTGTAAATCGAAGATAATAATGCCCACTTTTAATGCAAGGTCTGTTGATCTCTAAATAAGAGATATTGTAAGCATGCCTATCATTTTGCCAGTTCAGTTGGTTTCTTGAAATAGGTTGTGTTACATGAGAGAAAATTAAGAACAGAAAGTAGTGCCAGACAGAAATTACTGTAAATAAGTTCACTTGAAGGTCTTGTAATGAAGAAGCAAAAGTACCCACATAACCACAGAATCAATAAAATAGTGATGAAAGCAGTAAAGCAAAATGTGCACACCAAAGTGTTCAATAGACCATAAGTAACGTAAAAGAAACACATGGCAGAAATAAAGACAGTTATTAAGACATTAAAAAAACATCACATAGGGCCAGGAAGGTACACTGCCAGAAGATTCATGCGTTTATATACATATATGCAAGTGCAGGTGTGCACACACATATTCACAGTCATGCAGAAAGAGAAAGAGAAATATCTAACAGCGTTTAAGTTGGAAAGAAACTTCAGGAGTCAAATTCTGCTGGTGGTACTTCACCGCTTCACCCATCCAATACAGTGCAAGTCACAAATGAATTAGGGCTGTGGAGAGGGAAAATTAAGACTGATTCTAGCTTGCACATATAAAGGGTACTGCTTGTTCTAACATTCACTGCAGTATGTAATTATAAATACATATAATTAGTTGACACAGATATCATAAAATGACCCCAATGCTGCTTTCTGCATGATTGGGCTATGCAACCAAAATATGCAATGTAAACCAGAAAGGAATGACCCTAAGGATTCAGAAACTATTCTAAGAGCTTTTATTTGAGACATAAGGAAAAAAGCAGTTATGAATTTGGCTAATTATTCTAGAAGACAAAATTACTGCTATTTATACCGAACAAGGAGTTCAAGAACTAACAAGGTGTTTTCTCTCCCAGATTTGTGTCTCAGTTAACTGCCAACTCTAACTGCATTTTTCCTTGTGGTAAAGGCATGTCTAAGGCCTCTTCTCAAACTGAATTCTCCAACAACCAGTAAAATCTAAACTAATTTTGCAGCCTTCACTCCAGCGGGGGCACTGAGTGCCTATCTCACCTTCCCTCCCACTCAGGTGACCTCTAAAGCAAGCTGTTCGACACGATTATCCTTCAGTACTCTATTCTTCTGTTCAAATTATTTGTTCAAAAGCTCTTTGAGTGAGCAGGAGGGAACAGAAGGAGGACAGTGGAGATGCAGAGACATGGCAAGTGAATTGCACAAACTTAAATTCTTTGGAACAAAATATTGCCGCCATACATTCATGTGAGCTCAGAAACCTCCTTGACATAGAACTTCTATAGAGGTGACTGATAGATCAGAGTAGGAATTCTACCCATTCAGTATAGCATATAAATGATAACTTACTCTCTAACCAACAGAGGAACATATGTTTCAAATAACTCTGCTCCTCACAGTTGAATTTCATCCAGATAAACTATGTCACAGGACTGTAGATCCATGATACACATTGAATGTAATTAATTTACTAGCTTAACATACTGCTACCCAGAAAGAGCAGCAAACACAGCATGACTGTGGTATCTTTTTTATTTTTTTTTTTAAGATACTAAATAGATACTTCCCTTTTTTTGTAACTTCAACTATAAATCATGGGGAAACACATTTGTAGGGTCTCTTTGTCAAAGTCTTCTTTGACAAGTGCCCTGGACAAGCCAGACAGAGTGGGTAAAAATCAAAGCTGGAGACATACATTCATTTCCTGGAACCAGGAAGACATATTCCACCTAGCTAATACTCTCAGTTAAAAGGAAAGTTTTTACGATATTTTTTCCAGAAGGTAAAAACCCCACATTGTGACACACAAGTTTGTACTTCAGGCCAAAAACGCAAATGCAGATGAAGAACCCCTTCTCTCTCTACTTCTACTTTTCAGACCCTGGACCTTCCTTTCTGGGTACTTTCTGTACCAGAACCTGTACCTGCGGGTACTTCCCAGGCGACCACAGAATTCAATGGCAGCTTTCTTCTCAAGAAGAAATTTGCATTATCCCCAAACATTTTAGATCTATGGCCTGAACAACCTGTTTTCTTACTACTTGACACTTTTTATGGCACAATGTTACCCATAACTACACCTAAATTAAGTGCAAATTTAGGTATTTAAAGAGGCTAGAGTTTCAGAGGAGACGAGCGGTTGCACCTATAAACTGAGGCCAGTATATGTTGCAAGTGCTCAGAATCTCTGTATTATTGAGGGACCACGCATCAAGCTAAGCACTGCATGATCAGGACATCCGGAAGAATCACCAAGCCTCTTATTAACAAATTATACCTAATGCTTCTGAAAAAAGGGCAAAGTGGAATCCAAACTAGTAATTTATAGAGTTGCAATGCAGTTTTGTGGTTCATTTCCTTACGTTTCACTTATTATTTGCCTAAGGTGAATCAATGGCTTCTTGAAACTCCTTATGACAGAAAATGCAGAAGACTAAAAATAGAAATGTATGCTTTAGCTAGTGTGCATGAATTGGCTGATAGCATTTTATTATGTTTTATGGAACAGACACTGCAAGCAAGAAGCAGCTAGGATTTAATGAACATGGTATTTAGTTTTAGAAAACATAACCATGTTATTTCTTGCACCTCTGAAAAACTCAGATTGTATTTAAAGCACATCTTACATGTAACAGCATAAAAATATAACTGAACTGAAATCCTAGGTTTAGTGCATCGGCATGAATTCTGCACAATTACTGCAATTACATTCCAGCTTGTACCTTACAAAATATCATCAAGGATGATACAGTATATATCCTTTAGCCAACTTAACAGGGCTTTACCTAGGACAGTGATCAAAGAAATCAAAGTTTTACAAATAGGCTACTTATTGTTGAAACACATCTGTAGCTGTCATGTTCCCATTGCTCTTATTTTAACCACACATTGATTATTCACTATAAAACCTCTTGTGATAGCATAAAAAAAAATCCCTCTATAGCAATAGCTGGGATTTGATAATGAACTGAATCCAGGAAACACTCTAGTTCTCCTTCATTCTAAGGGTAATTCTGTTAAGAGGGAAGCACCGTACTTGCCAAAGTCAAAACAGATCCTAGGCGTAGGTGGCTCATCTGTTCTGACAGTACTTGTTATCATTTGGGTCCTAGATGGCAAGACACCCCTCTGTGCTCTTGAGATGATAAATTATAGGGGGAAAAAAATAAACTATCATATAAAGAGTTTCCTGGCTCACAGCCAGACAGATAAGAGAAGTGTATGGAGAAACCCTCCCATCTCTGTCTGTACCAATGGGGAAAAAAAACTGATGAACAACAGTATGTATTGAGGGTGGCAAGAGGGCAAGAGGAGACACACTTGCAGATGGGTGCCGTGCAACAGCACTCTGAAATGTCCCATGGACATATATTTCCTTTAGAAGATCAAAACATTTCAAAATAGCTTAAGCAAAACCTGGTTAATTTTTTACCAGCCTGGAGTGAGGAGAGGAGAAAGAGGGAGTGGTATTGGCTTTTCCACCTCTTGCTGCTTTGCCGGAGTACAGTGATCTCAGGAAGTCAAGAGAACTTTCCTATCCTGCTACAATGAAAATGGGAAAAGAGGCTTACACATTGCCTTCCATCTTGTGCTGTTGTTTTCATTTTCTTACATTCCTAGTGCCCTCACTGTTGGTAAGAGGATGCAGCAGCTGTTTCCTCTCAATTTCTTTCACCCTTAGGTACAGAGCAGAAGAGTGAGCTCAGCCCTTACGAATGACTGCTCCATGGGGAGGAAAGGGCAGCAATCTCAAGAGCACATCTGCCATCGACTCATCATGCTGGAAATTCCCAAGGAATTTAGCTTTGCATCTCAGGGAGATGAAACAAGCGGGCCTCTGCAACCAAACTGTGGAAGGGGAGGGGGAACATTGTCTCCTTTGCCTTTCCAACGAAATGAGCAGCTGACAACTCCATATGGCTCCTTTTAAGTTTAGTGCACTGCTTGCTCGGCAAAGGTTTCCTTTGATTCCAGGGGAACCTTTTGCAGAAGGAGGTATTGCTTACCATATGTAATGTTGGCAGGATAAGATTCCCCCTCCCATCTCACCTTTGGGAGGGGAGAGAAAGGAGATGAACATCAAGGCTCAGTGTGCCAAGACTTGAAAATATATTTACGTGCCAGAGTGGGACTCTCGCTTTGAACACGAGCCACAACAGATCTTCTGCACTTTGGGTAGTTCATTAACAGAAATCAATACAAGCTGCCTTTTAAGAAAGCCAACGCTTGTTCATTGACACACTGTGTAATTCCTTTTAGCAGAAGCATCAGTTCTTAAAAGGTGTGCAGTAAATTATGGCAAAACCACAGAATGGCAACGCTACAGAAAACATTGTTTCATTTTAGTGCAAACTTAAAACATAGAACACTGAGAGGAAGAGTAATTACTAAGAACCAGAGACAAAAGATGTGTCGCCTTTACCTGGAGGCCTTTCTTTTCTATCTTTTTCTGGAGTATCTGAAGGCACTTGGTGAAATCTGTGAGGTCTTGATCCATGGTCTCAATTAACTCACATCCCTAGTGAAGAAGCAGCAAAATAGAGAGAAAAAAAAAAAAAAAAGAACGTCAGTCATCTTTCAAGAACTGATGCTGTCTTCGGTAAAATTAACTACAGTCAGCAACTCTGAAAACCTCTGCATGGAGATGCAGGATTAATAAAAGACTATTACCCTTACAGATCCCAAAGACTGTAGGTCCCAGCTGAACAAATTATTATGAAGCAGCAGTTTGACAGACACAGGAGTAGATACTCAAAACCCATCGAGTATATTTGTGAGTTTGGATAAGCGTGTTCTGTGATGCTCTGCTGGATGGACAAGCTGTGATGTGGCGAGTCCTGGGCGATCAGTAACTTCCAGGACCAGATCCCAGGAAAATGACTGTCCTCTCTGGTGCTACAGTTACTGTGGTTCTGCTACATCTATTCCAAAGTGTATAAATGTAAGCTAACAGAAGTGTTCAAGCTTCCAGGAACCTGTACTAGTTAATTTGAAGTGATACAACAACAATTTCCTTGCAAGGGGGTAATATGGATGAGAGCATGTTAAAATGGAGAAGAGCAGGAGTTCATATCTCTTAATTGAGAGCTAAACCCATTCCTAAGTGTCTGATAAAAGGATGAGTAAGGAAAAGTGGAGTATATCTACCACATAAAGTCACTATTCAAAGAGGTTTCAAGGATACAAAATACCTAATACAGCATCGTAAATTAAAATAAGAACCATGCACAGTGGATTTAGAGGTTCCCTCTCCTCCCACTTCAATGTCCCCTTAAAAGCCTCCTAGCTGTGTCTTTATCTGACAGATTTTATGTTTCTGCTATACACAATAACAACTGATAAGAGAAAAGCATTCAGAATCTTTGTGTGTGTGCCTATGGGTATAAAGTGTATTATTTTGTTACATCAGAACAAAACCCCAAAATATTAAACTTGCTTCTACCTTGGTGGTAAAAATAAAGGCACAGAAGACAAAATTTCCCAGATCAGTGCACGGATGGAGTTTAGTGGATTGCATGCAACGAAATAATGAGCCTTAAATAGGAAGACACACACTACCACTGAAATGCTTCCCCGCACAGCCGGAATGCATATAAACCCAAACAAAACCAGAATGCAGTAGGGGATTTGGAAGAAGTGGAAGAGATAAGGGAGGCGATAACGGCATGCTTTTTCTTATACCTTTTCTCCTCCCTCCGCAAAAACTTCTGAAAGGAAAGCTGGTCAAAAGCGGTAGCCTTTCTGATCCTGATATTGCTCTAACTACCTTTTCAAGAAGTAATAAGAGGCCTGCCGGGGTGAAGCATCATATAGCTGCAACAGCACATGTAATCAAAGACCTCTCTTGCAGAAGTGATGCTGCTGCCACCATGGAGAGGCTAAGGAAAATACAGCTGGAGCCTGGACCCAGTGCTAAGCATCAAACAATTTGAAGAGCTGCCACGTCTCCACTTGTCACCAGGAAAGGCTGAAACATAAAATTGGCAGGGGGAAAAGGGACACCAGCCATCTGGAGTCTGTAATGAACCTGTGAGTTGTGCAACACCAGCCAGAGACACCCAGGGAGCCCAAGAAAGGTTCAGGCCCACCCAGAAAGCTCACAGTTGGATCTGAAAACTACTGAAGGGAATCTGTTCATCAAAGCCACTCTAAATGAAAAGATGTCTCATTCACTAAGAACAGGGTGCTCCAGACAGTCTCGTTATCGGCATTGATAGTGGACAGAGAGACCAAGCTGTGAGAAACTGTGAACAGACAGAACCTTCCCGTCTCACAATCAGCCTCTGAACAGCACGAGAACGTGACAGATGAAGACTAAATCAATGGCAGGGACAGCTACTGCTGAGCATGGGAGAAGAGACAGAAGCAAGTTACCTGCTCTTAAATTAGCAGTAGAGAAGGAAAGTCTTTTATCTTTTGCCAGGGCCATTCCTCGGCTTCACAGTGCTGGCAGAAGTGAGTGGTTTATAGGTACCAATTTATAAATAAAAGATTTAACCCCCACTCTTCCCCAGCACTTTGAAATACTCCTTCCTGCAGTCACACTAACAAGCCTGATCTCCTTGGGCAGTCAGGTCTTGGCAGCTGCAGGTGGGCTGCAATTCTGCTTTCTACCCAAGGAAGACCAAATTGTTGTTTTTTGGTTTTGGTTTTGTTAGGTTTTTTTTGTTTTGTTTTGTTTTTTTTTTTAAGTAATGATCTACAACAGCTTAAATTATTTTATTACTTACTATTTGATGCTTTCTATTATTAAAAGCATTTCACTTGAGTTTAGTTCTTGTCTAGCCTCTCTGGATGTTCTTTGATAAGAAAAATATTTCATAGCAACTACAAGGTACCACCAAGGCAAGGTGACTCCAGCGTGGTTGCTGGAGAGCACCACAAGTCATTTACTGCAGCTCCAGAAGCAAGCCATCACGCACCACACAGAGACTCCCTATGTTCAGCTCTGCTACTGTCTTTTGCACATATTCACAGTAAAAGGCCTCAAATATATGTCACAGAAATGCAATCTAAGTGTGTAAACAGGACGTCAAATGCACAATTCATTAAAGGCAGGTTCCTGTAGCTGTGATATTGATATCAAGAGGGTACTGTGGCAGCAGTAACTAAAAATGAAACCTGGCTTAACAGTGGTATCCTGAAACTGTTTACTCACTGTGCCTTTGACACCTTATACAAATACTGCTGTAGATCATACTGAAAATGTTGACAGAGTGCCACCACTAAAGCCACCGCTTCCTTCATTTAAACTGTGATTTCTCATTTTCTTCACATCAAAGCAGATAAGCAGCCCTGGAACTGGCAGAGATTTTAGAACTGCTCCTTTTGCCACAATGGCAAAGAGACTGGTGTGGTCAGACCGTGCTGGGGAAGAGGACAGGCAGCAGCATTCGCATCCTCCTGCATCCTCTTTACTGCCTCGCTGGAATTAATGTCTGTGCAGTTCATGTTCACTGATGGTAAGAGAGTTTTAGATAAATCTGTTGCTCGTGACATATCAAATCCAATATTTTACACCACAGAATTGGATGACAATTCAAATGCAGTTCTTGTCAACCTTCACTGTATTATTCCCGAATGACAAAAATCTTCAAGACAGAGCTTTCCGATGCAGCCAGGGTTTAATGAAAGGACAGTAGAACAATTGCAAGGTAGGCAATAACACATTTAGTTTTATAGGTATCTGCTCAACTTAATAACATTAACCTTTGGTAAGAAAGTTAAAAAGTCAAACAAATTTAACATTAGGAAAGGTTAGAAAAATCAATACCACGCAGCAGGAAAGAAAACAATAGATTGCATCTGATGACGACAGAACTTTGCTGAATGATAGGAAGAGGCACACAGAATTAGGCTTTGGCTGTTCTGTCTTATTATAGCAGTTATGAGAGGCACATTGCTAAAGAAGGAGGAGTGTGCCAGACACACATAACAGGATTATTGAACCCTGTATTTCAGATGACACTGAAATCAGATAGGCACTGAAATGTCAATCTCAACATCTCAGCATTTCTCCCATTTTTAGAAATATTATGCATCACAACATGTTGTGTGTTTAAAGAAAGGAGTGTGTAGGTGTCCACTCCCCTATGTCCTTATTAATTGCTTATTAAAAGAAAGTCATGTTTGTTCTTACTCTAATCTTTCTGAGCATGAGAAGATAAATAGGACAGAATACATAAAATATCCTAATATGCACTATCTCTGCAAGACCCTCCTACAGCCAGCCATTTGAGTCTATCTTTCGAAGCCTGTGTCTGGCTGTGCTCACTGAGTGCACCAGTGACATCCAGTTCTGTCTTTTAACAATTCCTGTTGCACTGAAGCTCAATTCTGAGGTATTAACCTCAACACAGCTGCACCTATGTATAGTGCTAATGACAAACACAGGCAAACCATATATCCTCAAGTTAAAAGAAGAGAAGGGAGACAGCTTTTAGAGCCTCTCAGAAGTACAGCACAGACAAATAAAGTTTAAGGAACCTATATAAATTAAATGGTATTTCTAAACACCCTCTTTCCCCTAGACCTTACTTGCCCCAACAGTAATGCACATAGCCAATCCCAATATCTCACAGACCAACTGAGTAAGAGCTATAGATTCATGGAACTATTTCAGTTGGAAGGGACTTTTCAAAGTCATCTGGTCCAAGCTCTTGCTCAGAGCAGGTTAGATTTGCTCAGGCTGCTCAGGGCCCTTTCCATTCTAGGTTGAGCATCTCCCAGGATGGAGGCTCCGCAACTTCCAAGCAGCCTCAGTTGCTTGACCACTCTTGTGGTGAAATATTCTTTTCCAGCGTTAAATTGGGATCTCGTGTATTGTAAATTGTTGTTGCTGCTTCTTTTCCTATCCCTGCTTTCCTTAAAGAAGAGTCTGGTTCTGTCTCCCCTCTGCCCTCCCATGAGGAAGTTGAAGACACCAATATGATCTCCTGTTCGCCTTTTCTTCTGGAGGCTGAAGAAAGCAGTTTTCTTCAGCCTCTTCTCACACATCACGTGCTCTAGACTTCCCTAACATATATTTCCCTCACTTGCGTTATATCAGAATGCAATATTTCCACCTCAGGGAGCCTGGAGAGGTCCATAAGCAGCAAGAAGGTAGAGGGTTTCTAGTTCTCTCTTCTTTTTAATGTAAATTTCTGGCCCCAGGGCATTTCAGTCATTTTGCCCCTATGGTATCCTCTTCCACTTTTGCCTGCTCGGAGAATAACCCAAACTTCCACATTCTTCATATTCTAGCTGCAGTCATCTGACTGTCTGGAACCCTCAAATGTTTTCATACCCAAATATGCAGACAAGTATTTATGCTCTGAATTGAACTCAATGCAGTTGATACTGAAAAACAACTGTAGGAAAAAGCATGTGTGGAGCCAAGCAAAGTCTTCTCTAGACCAGGCATCAAGAGGCAGAAAGGGACCACAGGGTCTGCCCACAGGTCTTGGACTAGGCCTAGAAAAGAAGATAAACATGCGAATGCATAATAAAAGAAGTTTAACAGATGACAGACATTATGTT